TATACATCTACATACTTCTTTTTCTCCCTTCACTATACTTCTTTCAGGTGTGCTGATAACGTGCTTTGTCTCTCTGTTTCTCTCTCTCTCTCTCTCATCTTTCATCTTCCCTCCATTCCCCTTCCCTCTCCTCCTCCTCCTCTTCTTCTCCTTCCTCCTCCTCCTCCTTCTCCTTCTTCTTCTTTTTCTTCTTCTTCTCCACCTCCAAATCCACCTCAACCTCCTCTTCCTCCTCCTCCTTCTTCTTCTTCTCCACCTCCAAATCCACCTCAAGCTCCTCTTCCTCCTCCTCCTCCTTCCTATCCCTCGTGTGTCTCGTCCCATCTTCGCAGGTGAGTCACATCGTTTCCGCCAAAGAAGACCAGGTGTCTTGCAGGAAATGGCTGATCTCCCGGTGTTGCTGCGACCACGAGTCCACGAACCATGCTTTCTGCCTCTGGTCCTGTATTGCTGTGTATGGCTTTTATTATTTTCCAAAGGAGAGAGAGAAAAGGAGGGGGAGGGAGAGAGAGGGAGGGACGGACGAAGGGAGAGGGAGGGACGGACGAAGGGAGGGAGGGAGGGAGGGAGGGAGGGAGGGAGGGAGGGAGGGAGAGAGAGAGAGAGAGAGAGAGAGAGAGAGAGAGAGAGAGAGAGAGAGAGAGAGAGAGAGAGATAAAGATAGAGAAAGAGATCGAGTTAGAGAAAAAAAAGTCAATTTCCCCTTTTCCCCCCCTTCCCTCTTCCCTAAATCACCCAAGCGTCTACAAGAGCGCTGAATTTTACCCTCCAGGAAACGGTGTGGTTTGCAAAGCCATGAAGCGAACAGAGAGCGCGGGGCCAATTTTCTTCTGCATTCCGTTTTCTTTGAGTTTCTTTGCGAATTTTTGAGTCTGGATGTGGAAAAGGTCGTTTTATTTTGCGACATTTTCACATGGTTATCTTTAATTTGATGCTCGAATTGTTCTGATGGTTTTGCCTTTCTTTGCTCTATTTGTGGACGAGTGATATTCACCCTGAAGAGTAAACGGAAGTTTGTTAACACTAAAGTACAATAGTTTATTGCATTTTTTTTCTTTACACTTCGTTTCTAAAATCAACTAATTAACCTACATACGGAGTTACTATTTTTGCATAATCAACACAAATGATACCTTCAAACCGTCAAACCGCTTTTTCAAACAAACAAAAAAGTAGGACTATGCATAAAAAAACAAAAAAACATACATCTAAATACCACCTCCTAAAAAAAATCTAGTTACTAGTAAAAAAAGAAAAGAAAGAAAAAACAAAAACAAAAAGAAAACCGACTCGTATAAAAAAATAATCGTAAAAAAGGCATCATACTAGATTAAACTCGTTAAAAAAAACTAAGCATCGTACAAGACTAAACTCCTTAAAAAAAACTAGGCTTTCGGAGTAAAAGTCGTTCTCTTCGGCAAAGAGGAACCGCCAGGGTCAAGGGCAGACGGTGGCCACTGAGAGGGAAAGTGAGGCGACGGTGCTGCGACTCCTTCCCCTGGCGGCCGTCGCTCTCAACATACGCGGAATCCTGTGCTCTGTGCGTGAATTCATTATTTTTTATTATTTGTTATTATTCGTGATGTCTTATCAATTTCTTATTATTTTATTGTTTGTTATGCCTCTGCGTGAATTCAATATCTTTATTTATCTATTTTTTTTATTGAAATGATATAGGAACCTTGCGTTTAATGAATGAATGAGAGGTTTATATTATGTGTGAAGTCATATATTGTTATAGTATATACAAGGTAAGAAGTTTATATTGCATCATTTTTATATTATTATTACGAATATTTCATAAGTAATACATTTTTTTCCTGGTTTCGATCCTTGGACTGCTGTTTTTACTGTGATTTTTGTTATCATTGTCGATATCATTATTATTATTTTCATTATCATTATCAACCCTTGCTCCATGCTTAATCATAATGTAATAATATTTACTATGTTTTTTCAGCTTGGCTTATTAACTAAATTATTATCGTTGTTGTTGTTGTTTTTCATTCTTATCATCATTATCGTCTTCATCGTCATCATCATTTTTCATTTTCATCATCATCTTTATCAACTGCCATTGTCATTTCTTTTATTATCATCATCATTATCGATATTATTATTATCATTAAAACTGTTATCATTAATATTAATTTTATCATAAGTATCACTAACATTAATATTATTATGACCACTAGTAAATACTCTGAAATAACAACACTTAGTCATAATTTTTTATACAGTATTATTATTGTTCAGTTACGTACATTCTGCTGGCTCAAGGTTGGGTAGAAATGCCGTAGATTTTATGGCCGTCATAGTGTGAAAAAATGTTGAAAATATCGATATCATTTGCCCGTCATTATAACTGTTATAATTTCCAATTATCGTGAATATATATATATATATATATATATATATATATATATATATATATATATATATATAAATATATATATTGTTATTATTATTATTGTTATTATGTCTTGAGTATTATTATTGTCACTAATATTATCAAAATATTATCTTCATTATCCCTATTATCATAATGTCACCATCATCAATAATCAGATAATGATTACAGTAACATTATGTGATAATACAATATAATATAAACAACCTTCCTACCCTCAGAAAATAAATTCACAAATGTCGTAATATCTAATAAGAAGAACAGACGTAATAAAAAAAAATCTAAGATAAATCATTTGAAATCGCCATTATAAATTCAATTTCAAAAAGAATTACGTTTAACGGACTCCCGCGCAAATTTAACCGTCACTTGCCCAACTCGCTC